TTCACAATACATTACGGTTTCAAACTTATGAAACTTGAAATATAATTTAATTATCAAAGCAAAGAATTCGCGTCTACATAAAGAGGTTTTCGTTGATATAATACATAAGCATCTAAGTAGACAAAATCAAAGTTTATAATAACTAAGTGTACCGATCTTAACTAAAATATTCAGAACTCTGTATAATCTTCCTCACCTTTTTCAATGTCATTGTATGAGTCGAGAGGCTTCAACTCGTAATCCTTGCCAAAACCAGCGAAAGCATAGATCAAGTGAGTACACAGAAATGGATTGATATTTTCTGGAGAAAATTTAGCTAGTCCAGGTCTATAGACTGCCCAGTTCGTGTAATAACACACCAGTTTAAGGTCTGAAGCACCTAAAATGTTAAAACAAAACTTTATTTTATAATTGGACGTAACTCAAGAAAGTTTCGGTTGTTTAAAAGTTGTCAAAATAAATGTTATTTACAGTCGTTTACTGAATTAAGTATAAATTCACAGAGTTTGAGGGAAGTGAATAAAAATACTCAGGCTGTATACTTACAGGCTTGTGACGTCAGCCCTACCAGAAAGAGTAAATAGCGCCACCACATCTGTATCAGAACAAAATAAAAACATCAATATTGACACAAGTAATAGAAGTTACGGACATTTTATGCTACGTATAAGTTACAGCACACCTGTCTAGGGGAATTACATGTGCTACCGTTAATGGGTGTTTATATCATTCATGAATCAAATATAGAGAGAACACAGTTCTCGGGTTATAAAGGAATAAGAATAAAGAATTGGATTCGGATGTTAAGATGATGAATTTGTGGTTATTAATGTGTAACCAATACTGTTATTGATGTTGGTGAGAAAATACTTTGGAAAGTGAAATATTTGTAAGTTAGTAGATGAAAGTAACAGGACAGCTTATGTTAAAGAAAAAACAGTGTTACCCAATGTTTTTGGTAATGTTACTAACGGATATTTACAATTTGATTAAAATTAAGTGTTAATAAGTGGGTGGAAATGTCTATCTAACTTATATTAAAAGCCAGTATGTGACACGTCACACTTGATTTCTCAAAATTGGAAGAGTAATAAAAGCCAGTATGTGACACGTCACACTTGATTTCTCGAAATTGGAGGAGTAATAAAAGCCAGTATGTGACACGTCACACTTGATTTCTCAAAATTGGAGGAGTAATAAAAGCCAAAATGCATTACTATCTGCCCATTACGATTTTACTGACGGGGGTGCAAAGTGTGTGTGTGTATCGTGAAACCTTATAAGTGTAGTGAGTGTTGGTATAATAAGCCCAAAGTAAAGACCTAGTGTAGGATCACCTAGACTAGAGCCAGTGTATAAAATTTATCACGGAAAGTAAAAATATCGATTCAATTTTAAACTTAAGTCGTTTCTGAATTAAGCTATTTTCTGTTATATCACCAACGTTTTTAATAAAAAAAGCATACCTCTTTAATCAACTAAGACTCTAAATTAAGAAATCAACAAATATTTTTCCAATTTTTTTGTCTATACATTTCATTTTATACTTTCAGTACATAGACTAACAACAACATTAGGTTATATTTTTGTTGCTAATCAACCTGACATAAAAGCCATTGTTAAAACGCAGTGTTACCAAAACGCTCTGGCTTTTCTATTTATTAGAAGTTGTTAATCTAACTGATTTTTACCAATAATTATTCTATGAATACGCCACGAATTCATGTCATGGACGATCTTAATTTTGATTGGCTCACAAAGGAATTTTTCAACGTGTGACTGCCTCTTTGTTGATCAAGCTTGATTTTGCAAAATTCATTTATTTCAGTTAGCTATGAAATGTGAGGTTAGGAACTTAGGGTGTACTGTGGGGTGGGGTTTGTAGTACTTGCTCCGTCATTTTTGACGGGCTATACGTTAGTAGAAATTAAACCCACTGCCAGTAGCTTATGTGTCACACACACACACACACAATTCCTTCCAGTTGCACAGCAGCAAGTCCGAAAGTTTATAACGCAAACTCTGTTTTGATGACTGTGGTGGGAACAGCATAGATAGCCCATTGTGTAGCTTTGTGCTTAACTACAAACAAACACACAAAAAGTATGTTTGGTGAGTCCAGTGCTTTAGTTTAGATGTAATACGTTCAATCATACAGATTGAAATATGTCATAAGCATGCGACGTTGTTCAATATTATATTTTTGTTTTGGTGCAGGATACAGAATATATGCTAAAACAGACTCCGAACGTATGTCCTGAGGCAGGAAAGCACACCCCTGTGGCATTGCGTTGTTGTTGCTTTAGTTGTACGTTGCTTGTGCCAAAGTGAAGTCATCTGGAAGTCATGGCCAAAGGTTAGAGGCTGACACTTGCAAGGTGGCTGATCTGATTTCACCTTCATCTTTCCCCACTGGGACCAAGTTCTATTTTCATATCAACCACACAATGGAGTATGTGAGTGCCAGCTATGTTAACTGGGGTCAAGGGTAAGCAATGGTTGCAGTGAGAAGCATGGCTTAATGTTAGTCAAGTTTATGCCTCGTATAAAATCTGCTAAATTGAGATGTTCACAAGGGCAATAGGTTTTACAACTTGTGTCAAAAATATTCTTTTGGAGAATATCATAATTATAATCACAGTGTTATAACTTTCAAACCTTCACTTCTAGCTGAAGTTGAACTTCTGACCAACCAGAATTCTGTTCAATCTTTCTTTTTCAACTCATTCAGATAAGAAACTTATTTTAACCAAATAAGACACTTTCTGATATTCCTCCAGTTATTGGGGTTGCTGTTCTTATTTGAAGCTTAGCAGTGAATCTGTGAGTAACACAATCCATAGGCGCTTTAATTTCATTTTGTCTTAAGCTTATGCATGCCAGATAATTTTGGTTAAGTTGATTTAATTTCAATTAAAAAGTTGTGTTACCCAAACTATAATTAACCATTACAATAACTAAGTAGTTCCACCTTCAGGAGGAGTTTTGAACCCTCCATTTAAAACAAACACGAATAACTAAAACTGTCAAGGAAGGAATTTATGAAACTAAACAAAAATTAAAATATATTATTTCAAACATCAGATTTGTTTTCTACCTTAAATATACTGGCAACATCACGTACGTTTACATCTTACTAATCATGTCAGGAAAAAAAAACAGAAAGAAAACTGCTTGAATTCCTCAGGTTATGTTTTTCTTGAAACGATCTTGAAAAGTAGGTCAAACCACTTGGCACATGGAACATAGAAGTTCCTACAGTTTATCTGGGGTGTGGTTGGGTGCGCTGCTATGTCCTGCAGTTTCAAAATAATATTAACGTTTTATATTTACCTGCACTTTAGGCTTAACTCTTATTAATTCTGAACTTACAAATGTTTTCCGTTTACCTCCGCTTTAGGCTTATTAATTCTAAACTCAGGAATGTTCTCCGTTTACCTGCACTTTAGGCTTAAATGTTATTAATTGTGAATTCACGTTAACCGTCTACCTGCACTTTAGGATTAAGTCTTATTAATTCTGTACTCGTGAATGTTCTTCGTTTACTTGCAATTTAGGCTTAACTCTTATTAATTCTGAACTTACAAATGTTTTCCGTTTACCTGCACTTTAGGCTTAAATGTTATTAATTGTGAACTTTAGGGTTAAGTCTTATTAATTCTGTACTCGTGAATGTTCTTCGTTTACTTGCAATTTAGGCTTAAGTCTTATTAATTTTGAACTCAGGAATGTTCTCCGTTTACCTACACTTTGGGCTTAAGTGTTATTAATTGTAAACTCTCAAATGTTCTCCCCCTTTCCTCCAGTGACTCAGCTATAAGTATGAAGGCTTGTAACGTAAAAGCGGGTCTCGATATCCGTGATGGGCACAGCATAGATAGCCCATTGTGTAGCTTTGTGTTTAACAACAAACTCCCCTACTTTTTTTTTATCCAAACTTTGATTAGAGGAGAAAACAAACATAAGATTATTATTTGTGATAAAACCTCAACTACTGGAGTATAAATAAATATTCATATTCAATAATTTCTGGTGTTCGTAATACAAAGTTTCACAGTTGCCTTAAAGGTATTATCTAAATATAAGAACAAAAGTAGGACATCGTGAGAATAAAGATCTAGATGATCGGTTTATCTACCTGGCGGCCAGTTTGTAGAACTAAGGTCATTCACTGACACCGAAGGAAAGGTAATAATGGGTGGAGCAAAAGAAGAAAAAAAAAACTGGTGTATGTTGTTTTCGTAGTGAGGATAGTGAATACTTAGAAAGTATCTTACTGTATCTGTGTGTACACGATACAGGAACAACGTCCGAAAACTAGGGCATATTTCTTATCTCGGGCGAGCTAAAGAGTATGTATGAATGAATGTGCTTGTTTATAAATATACATAGTCACCATTATAAATATGTGGAAAAAACAGCCAAACGAGCTGTTGGAGATACACAGTTATTAAGCCTATTTTTTGTTTATATTGGAAACAGCCTATTAAGATCTTGAGTTATACTATGACGAATTGGATTATTGTCACTCTTTCCGATTGGTTGATAAAGACCTGTACATAACGCAGAGAATCCTATAATTTTCCACTGTTTATTTGATTACAATTTTCTCAAGTGTTACTTCGTTCGTAACTAGAATAAAAATGTATATATATTAGAAAGAAGTTGACTTGGTCTAGGCGTTTTTCGTGAAACTGGTGATACAGTAAATGAATGATATAAAACTCGCCGTGAAACTAAGTAAACTGTAAAACGGAGCCACTGCAGGCTTCAAATAAAATTTAATGTTATTATTAAAAGGTTCTCATGACCAGCACAAAACCATAACACATTTTCTGTATTCTATAATAGACTGTAGTAGATTTAAAGCAGTAAGTAAATACATAACCTTAATTTAAATATCAAACGTTTTTTAATAAACTCGTTCAAGATTAACCCGCAGTTTCTGATATAAACGAGTCTGTCTGTGTTCGTTTTAGCGCAAAGCTACGCAATGGACTATTTGCACTCTGTCTACCGCGGGGAATCGAACACTGGGTATTAGCGTTGTAAGTCTGTAAGTTTACCGCTGATCCACCGGAGGGACGAATTTAAAATACGGCAAAGTATCAAATTAAATATATATTGTAATAGATTATTGAACCTTACTATATAGTTTACTAACGACGAGTCATAAACGTACAGTTGATATATAGTTTACTAACGACGATCAACTGTACAGTCATAAACGTAAAGTTGGTATATAGTTTACTAACGACGAGTCATAAACCGTCGTTAGTAAACTATATATCAACTTTACGTTTCTGACTCGTCGTTAGTAAACTATATATCAACTGTACGTTTATGACTCGTCGTTAGTAAACTATATATCAACTTTACGTTTATGACTCGTCGTTAGTAAACTAAATATCAACTGTACGTTTATGACTCGTCGTTAGTAAACTATATATCAACTTTACGTTTATGACTCGTCGTTAGTAAACTATATACCAACTGTACGTTTATGACCCGTCGTTAGTAAACTATATATCAACTTTACATTTATGACTCGTCGTTAGTAAACTATATATCAACTTTACGTTTATGACTCGTCGT